GGTTATTGGAATAACTTCAAGTATAACCTAAGCCTCGATGCGATCGCATTCAGTCCAGTGGTGACCGCCGGCACCGGTCGGCACATATACAACACACACCTCAGTCGCGACATCAATGACAAGAGTTTTGTATCAAAACTTATCACTACAAATGAGTTGTTTAATCCGTTGAAAGTCTATGTAAGCTTTCAATATGATACCTCTTGTCCCGAACCAAACAAATGCCAAACACCGGTGTTTGTCACACAAATACCACACAATTTGAGTCAACAGTTGGAGGGTATTGTTGACTACTATGTGGACAGTCAGACATCGGGTCATATGCTGTGGTTTAACATCGATGGACGCCCGATGTATTGCTTTACACCCAAAGACCAATCCCTGTCCGCACAGGTAGTGTTTGTTTGATAAATTTATAGCAAATGTTTAAAACAAAATATTGTTTATTATTATTTTTAATTGCAATTCATCGAAGGATATGATTCCGTATTTACCGAACTGTTTCGATCCAACCGGCGATTCTGTTAATTATATGTTTTATTTATACATATGTGTGCTTTTAATAGTAGTCATTGTCTTTGGATCAGTTGTGGTGATTATATGGCGTAAGAGGAACCGTCAAAGACAAGTGACAATTCCGACCGACACGAGTATCAACACTGATTTTACGGTCAAAACGATATCATCGGATCCGGAGAGCAAACGCGACGGCACACCAGCGCCGGTAGTGACCGATACAACCCATAGGAGTTCAGTATATAGTAAAACACTTTTACCCAAACAATTGTCTTTTAAATAATTTTAAAGAAATTAAATATAATTTTGTTTTTATTTGTTTACTTACAATATAGATGTGTTGACCAAAACCACTTCTACGACATCCACAAAGAAATCAAAAACAATTAAAAAGAGATCTAAACCTAAAATCTAGACATTTGTAGACATGTTATGAGTTGTCAACACTTTTCTTGTATTGTTTTAATATTGTATCAAATATTTAATTCATATTTATTTATTATTTAAATTGTAAGGGTCTTTGTTTCATAAATAACTTATTAGTTTGATTATTTATTTCATATAAGTTTATATTTCTTGTTTCGTTTATATTTAATAGTTGTTTATATTTATTTAATTAAACCCTAATTAAGTCTAATTATTACATAAATTATTTTGCATATTATTGCCGCGAGACTATGATTTTTTAAAAATATAAAAGTCATTATAGTTTTCATTTCAACCAAACGTTTTATCAACAGTTGTTTCTCACATCTAAAGTAACAAATTATCTCAAAAATATTTACCATAAAAATGTACACAATTTTGTACATAATTTGTATGATATCTGCCATTGAATGCCAATCATTGTGTGATTTGATACAAACCGATGGCAAATATAATGGCCTTAAAATGTACAGAAAGTGGACAATAAATTCGCCTAATAATCCGCAATCAAGTCTAAAGATGTACTCAAAGGACAAGATGTGGACATTTGAGATACAAAGGGGTGGAAATCAAAAACTCTTTGTGTCCACCAATGGCTCGAATGTCTATACAATGATTGACTTAACTTTCAATAGATTTTCAGCAGTTTGTATGAAATCCAATACCTTTTGCACTTATGATTGTGTCGTCTTTTATAAAGTGAGTGATTGGGAGAGAGAGAGAGAGAGAGAGAGAGAGAGATAGGCTAATACCCGCATCTGTTAACCCTAATCATTTCGAAACTAAAATGATCATGGCACAACAATTTAATAATAGCTCATCGGTGTGTGTTGTAAGTGTGTGTGTGTGTGTGTGAGAGAGAGAGAGAGAGAGACTTATGTACTAAAACTAATATCAATTGTTATCATACCATAGGATAAACGAAAGACTGAACATTATTTAATATGTGATTTGTATGGTATTAAAGGAGATGTGACTGCGAAAAAAGACAGGTATTATAACCTAAGCCTCACTGCAATCCCATTCAACCCAACGGTGACCGCCGGCACCGGTTGGCAGATATACAACACTCACTTCGATGTCCACACCGGAGGGGCTGTTGTGTCGCATGTAATAAAAGATTATCTATACATCAGATATATAAACGAAACCGATTGTTTGAATCGGAATCGGATCCAATGCCAGACACCAGAGTTTGTCCGACAAATACCACTGGATTTGCGGCACCGGTTGGAGGGTATAGTCGACTACTATGTGGACAATCAGACATCGGGTCATATGCTGTGGTTTAACATCACTGGTCGACCGATGTATTGCTTTACATACAAAAACCAATCGCTGTCCGCACAGGTATTGTGTGAAATAGTAGTCTGAAAAACAATTGTAATAAATTAAAATTTTCATTTGTTTTTCAGTGCAAGTCATCAAAGGATATGATTCCGTATGAAAAGCACTGTTTCCCTGAAGTCGACGGTTTCGAGGATTCTGTGACCGTATTATGGATTGCATTTGCAATTGTGTTCATAATTGCTGTCATTGTCTTCGTATCAGTTCTGGTGATGATTAGGCGAAGAAGACAAAGACAAGCGGTTTCCGAGACATCCCGAGACAAGTCATGCTCTCAAAAGACTAATTTAAATATTGACAGCCATTTGTCGTCAATAATCAGAGACACCAAACGATCGCCGACTAAACCCAAGTCTAAAAAGCCGTAAATTTCTATACATTTCAGTGATTTTTTTTAAATGAATTTCAAACTAAATTGAGTAGTATTTCAATGTTTTGTTATTTCAAATATTATTTATTTCTAATTATATTTATTTCTAATTATAATTATTTTTTTAATTTTTATAAACACTGTTTTATATATTTTTATATTATTTCCATTTTTAACAAAACTGTTTTATTAAATCGTCGCCAAAATTCTAAATAAAATATATTTTAAAAATTTTATTAGAAACTCGTTATAAACAATAAACATTTGTTTAATGTTTGCATTTTAATTTGATTAATATAATAAATTAAAACTTTTTAATCGTTATAGTAATTAATAATTACTAATCATTTATTTAATTCAATGAAGAATTGAATGATTTATTAAACATTTAATTTCAATGAAGTTCAATGTATTTAATTTATACAAACTGTCAGAACATTAGGTTAATTTAGTACAGTTTACTTGTTATTGGCACGAGATGATTGTGTAATTTTCAAAAATAGTTTTCATATTATTTCAATTAAACGTTTTTCAGTCAATTATTTCTTAGATTTAAAGTAATAGACTTTTGAAAACCATTTATTACTACAAAAAATGAAAACAATTTTGGCCATAATTTGTATGATATCTGCCATTGAATGCCAATTAATGTGTGAATTGATTGCAACGAATGGCAGATATAATGGCATTAAAATGTACAGACAATGGATAATAAGCCCACGTTTGCAATCAAGTCTTAAGATGTACTCTAAGAACAAGATGTGGACATTTAGTATAGAAAAGGCTGAAAATGAAACACTCTTTGTATCGACTATTGGATCCACTAATAAAACGATTAGCGATTTAACTATCACTAGGTTTTCAGCCGTTTTTGATAAATTGTTAATTGTTTATGACTGGGCTTTTGATTGTGTTTTTTATTACAATGTAAATATTGTGTGTGTGTGTGTGTGAGAGAGAGAGGGAGAGAGAGAGAGAACTGTTACATACCTAATTCAATTGCATTAACGAACAGATTAACATGGTATTAATATATTATTAACATTGAACAGGTTATTGTTAACTTGTAGATTTTTAGTAAAATTATAATGGATTATACAAAATGCTATTATCAATAATATCAAAATCTTTTAATTAATATAATGTATTTGTAGTGTTAAAGTAGTGTATTTTATTTATATGACTGTATACTTTTTATTGATTAGTATTGTGCTTATTGATAAAAATTTTATCATATTTTATCATAAACTAAATGTAGAAATAAAAATAATAATAAAGTTGATATAAAAACTTTAATTTATTAAAGTTATTGATTTAATAGTAATAAAATCTTATTTTAAATAATTTCATTAAATTAAATAAATTTTAAATAAAAGCATTTTAAATAATTTGATCGTGTATTCAATATATAAATATGTTTTCTACATGTTTATTGTTATACAGATATCGATTACAATCATTACTGTTAAACTTCGTAACTTAGATCCTTCGATCTTAGATTTTTGCCTATCCTAGAGTCAAACTCAAAGTCCCGATTCACTCCATAGAAGCCAATTGTTAAATTCCCTCATACCTTAGACCTTCTATCTTAGACTTTAGAGTAATTGTCTGGGACCCAGTATCAATTCTTAACTTAATTTTCAACTTAAATTCTTCAAATAAATATTATTATTTTACTTTTAAAGTAGGATGCCCGCCCCTAATGCTAAGCTGGCCCCGCTGACCTGGTTACCATTTAACATAATACAAATTATTTGCAATTAGAGGTCCTTAGATAGAACTAAAAACAAATAACGTTTATAGCATAAATAACGTACAAATAATGAAATACATTTTTAATTTTTTAAATAACTTTTTTATCTGATATCCGAATTACAAAATTCCTTCAGTTTCCTATTCCTCTTATCACAACCTTTCCATTGATATATAATATGATACAAATATCACTCAAATAAGTTTTTAATTAGAGTAAATTTTTCCAATAAAAGTGGTCACTACTCCCGAGCCCGATATCTTAGGGACATATGGACAACATTTTCAAAGACCCCTAACCATAGTCTATGGTTCCCATATTAAATGGTGATCAGGCAAGCAGGGCCAGCGTTAGCATTAGGATCGGGCATCGTACTTATTGATGTTTTAGTGTAGTATTTAATATGATTCCTAATAACTGTAAATAAGCTAATGTCTTACATTTCAATATTTAAAATGTATTTTATAGAATTAGTTTTAAAAGTTGTAAACATAATATAATTTTATATAAATTATCACATTATATAACAAACAATTTAGCGTCTGATACAAAATAACTTAAGATATAACAATTAACGCATAATGTTATATTTCATTCAATTAATGGGTAAGTATCACATTAAATTAATAATTTAATATTTAAAAGTAAATAAACAAATTATTTGTGGCGTATATTCAATGAATAAAATAGTAGTAGTGTTTGGCATATATCGGGTGACAAGTAATGCATTTCACGCAGAAATGGCTAATTATCCCAACATTACTACCGATGAGTGCGGGATATCCAGGGATTCATTACTGATGGACAACAAGTGCTTTACATACCATAAAGTGGATAATACAGTGAGTCGTATATTCAATGGTAGGCGGGCCACAGATGGAGAGTTACCCTGGCACGTTTATATAAAGATATCCACAAAACTAAAGTATGTATATTAGTGAGTCAAACAATCTTATTGTTAATATATTGTATTTTGTATTGCAATCTATGATAAATTACATTATTTAATTTATTATTAATTTTAACATTAATGATAATCGCAGTTATTATTGCGGGGGCAGTATATTGAATGAGTGGTGGATATTAACCGCCGCTCACTGTGTTGTGTAAGTAAATGATACGTATTTAATCCAAAATAAATAAATTAAAAAATTAATTCAAATGCAGACAAAATTTACATGGTACCGTAACCATTTACCCGGGAATGCTCAGCAGATTTCATCCCGGTACCGGATACCTATCCAAGAAAATTATAATACACCAAGGTTATGTAGTTAATAAAAACAAAGCTGATGACATCGCACTCATTGAGCTGAACACTGCACTCAACTTCACGGCCCCGAAAGGCTCACACTATCGGCGGTTAAACAGCGTTTGTCTCCCGAAAGCAGACATCAAGAACACCGACAAAGAGTACGCTTTGGTCGCCGGTTTTGGTCGCATTAATGACACACATTATCCCAATTGGCTTCAGATGGGTTGGGTTAGGCTAATACCCGCATCTGTTAACCCTAATCATTTCGAAACTAAAATGATCATGGCACAACAATTTAATAATAGTTCATCGGTGTGTGTTGTAAGTGTGTGTGTGTGTGTGTGTGAGAGAGAGAGAGAGAGAGAGAGAGAGAGAGAGAGAGAGAGACTAATAATGATTTGTTGTATAAATAGGGTGATAGTGGCGGTGGAGTAATACAGTGGCAAAACGGTAGGGCTGTAGTGATAGGAATTGTGGAAATGACTACAGGTTGCAATTATACTGAATTTTACCGTTTCGTGCGGACATCGCTGAAGGTTAATTGGATTAACAAACAGATTAATGGTATATGATTTACATTAAACCGGTTATTGTTTAACTCGTATATTTTATGTTAAATTGTACTCCATTACCCAAACAATTGTTATTTACAAAATGTTATAATCTATAGTTACTTACAAGTAAGAACATTTTTATATGTTGTATAAATAGGGTGATAGTGGCGGTGGAGTAATACAGTGGCAAAACGGTAGGGCTGTAGTGATAGGAATTGTGGAAATGACTACAGGTTGCAATTATACTGAATTTTACCGTTTCGTGCGGACATCGCTGAAGGTTAATTGGATTAACAAACAGATTAATGGTATATGATTTACATTAAACCGGTTATTGTTTAACTCGTATATTTTATGTTAAATTGTACTCCATTACCCAAACAATTGTTATTTACAAAATGTTATAATCTATAGTTACTTACAAGTAAGAACATTTTTATAAATATCATATCCAGATATATTATTATTTAATACATTTTTAGTATTACAGTAGAGTAGAGACATGTAGTATTTACAAATTAGTATTGTCTTTATGGCTAAAATAAATGTAAAGTATTTTAGGAATATTATCATGTTTATCAAAATCAACATGTTAAAATTACTAATTATTGATTTTATTTTATTTTATAATTCAGTAAACTGATAAAATACGGTGGTTGATTTATTTGTTAAAACATTTAACTATGTATTAAACATACAATTTGTTATAATAAATATGCAATTTTTGTGTTTATTCCTTCAGTTTATACGAGAATTTGTGGGCTAATAGGAAATACCGGATATATTTAACAGTAACCTAAATAGAAAACATATGATTTATAAAACAATAATCAATATAAAACAACACAAACCATATAAAACAAGGGCATAGTTCAAGTGGTAGTAGACTATTTTTAAAGTGAGGCATAATTGTTGTTTTAACCAAGAGAATTAATCACTATTAACGTTATAATTATTTATTAATTTCTTATACCCTTAACTAAAAATATATGACTAAACTACTAGGTAATCCCAACTCATTTTAATATAACATGATCTGTGAATAATAGGTATGAATGCACTATGACAGTATAAATTACATTACATTGAATGTATCGTTCGTACTCTCAATGTACTCTTGTACTACAACTTGGCATAGTTAGTGTGCCCAACGGTCCACATGTAAAACCAATTTTGCAATTAGCGGCCAATCGTTCAAAATATGTCATTAATTGGAGTTTCAATGTGAGCCGAAACGGCCAGCCATTGATCCGCCACTGAATACGTGCCAAACGTTTGGCCGATAAATGAGTTTTCAATGATATGTAAGCCATACAAAACTGGACCACAAATAAGAGAAAACCAGTGATGACTGCATTCACAGCAACTATAATGAAGTCAAACACAGAAAGAGATTCAAAAAGCAATTGATGGCATAAAATGATATTGACAGGAAAATAATAGTTTAGTACAGTTGAACAACATTTATGGTAAACCTAAACAACAGTCAAACCCCGTTATTAGCCACTATTCGACACGTGACTCTCTCTTATATTTTTTCGCGCCAAAACTTTATTTAATCACATTTACATCATTCATATACTCTGTTATACTCACATTTATATTGTACACTTATACACATATACTCATACATTACCGTATAATATCGGTAATCTGGCCAGAATCGGTAATTCCGAGGACGGACGGACACTTATCATATACCATTATAATCACATTATCGTACCGCATATACCATGTATAAACGGCCAGCCATTGATCCGCCACTGAATACGTGCCAAACGTTTGGCCGATAAATGAGTTTTCAATGATATGTAAGCCATACAAAACTGGACCACAAATAAGAGAAAACCAGTGATGACTGCATTCACAGCAACTATAATGAAGTCAAACACAGAAAGAGATTCAAAAAGCAATTGATGGCATAAAATGATATTCATTGGTATTATAGGCATAAAAGTGTAAAACAATATTTGACTCCAAAACTGATTTAAATCATTAATTTCTTTGCAAAACATATTGTGTTTTACTATGAATTTGCGAATATTTATAAACAAATAAATTTTCTTAAAAGGGAAATATAAACTGTGACAACGTATTTAAGCGCAGAAAATGGTACTAAAATATACTTCACGATTAGGTGAAACCATCTAGATCTAAAATTTAGGCCAACGGACATATTTAGCGGGTATAATTGCCACAATTAAGTTAAGAATTTGGTTTTATAGTTTTAATTTTTGCGCCAGTATTGTGAGGATATTTTATTCACATCTATAATCCTTTCACTTTACTCATAATTAATAGACATAAATATCATATTCATACTTTATATTACTATAGATTTGCTAATTAATTAATATGTAAGGTGAAATGATAAAAAATCTGAATTAAAACAATAGTAAACCCAATTATGAAAAATGGTTTTGAGTATTAATGTATGAATATGATATTTATTTCTATTAATTATGAGCAATGTGAAAGGATTATAGATATGAATAAAATATCCTCACAATACTGGCGCAAAAATTAAAACTATAAAACCAAATTCTTAACTTAATTGTGGTAATTATACCCGCTAAATATGCCCGTTGGCCTAAGTTTTAGAGCTGGATGGTTTCACCTAATCGTGAAGTATATTTTAGTACCATTTTTAGCGCTTAAATACGTTGTCACAGTTTATATTTCCCTTTTTAGCCATAAATACGTTTGGCAATTGAAGTATTGTATTTAACTCATGATTAATTAATAATATTGTTTTCAATGATGCATATATTTTAACTATAAGTACATAGCACAAACTTGTTTCAAGAATAAAATGGATATTGGTTAGAATAAGCATCATTACTACAGATATAAATGATAGGCAAAACTCCCAAAACATATAGTTTTCAATAATTAAAATGATGCAAAACATTATAGCAGTCCAACCTAGTATCATTTCAATTAAACGTTATTCAGTCAATTGTTTCTCAGATCTAAAGTAATAGACTTTTGAACATCATTTATTATTACAAAAAATTGAAAACAATTTTGGCTATAATTTGTATGATATCTGCCGTTGAATGCCAATCAATATGTGATTTGATACAAACGAATGGCACATATAATGGCATTAAAATGTACAGACAATGGATAAATAGCCCACGTTTACAATGAAGACTTAAGATGTACTCTAAGGACAAGATGTGGACATTTAGTATAGAAAAGGCTAAAAATGAAAAACTCTTTGTATTGACAATTGGATCCACTAATGAAACAATTAGCGACTTAACTATCATTAGATTATCAGCCGTTATTGATCAAAATCTGATTACTTATGATTTGGCTTTTGATTGTGTTGTGTCTTATAAGGTGTGTGAGAGAGAGAGAGAGAGAGAGAGAGAGAGAGAGAGAGAGAGAGAGAGA